CCTGCCCCCCACCCCCTCCAAGGCAACTCTTGGAAAACCAGACACCAGCTCTAATTAAACTGGTTCTTAAACAAAAAGCAAGCCAATGGTCAGGAAAGAGAAGCCACACCTCAGGGCAGCAAACACAGCTGAAGTTTACACACTCCTTGAATGATAAAAGATCATCAGGGATTTTCAAAGCCTTGGCATACCCTGTTCTTTTTAGCCTCATAATGATCCAGGCCAGCTCTGAGAGCAAGAAGGCTCTGGAAGCAGAGTGCCAAGAGCTGCAATGAAGGGACGACAGTCCCCGTGGGTTGAAAGCACACATTTCATCTTAAGGACGCTGACCGGCAGAAAGGCCTCCCAGTGATGTTCCTGTCTCGGAGACGTGGAGGAACTCTGCCCAGATAAATCACACAAGCTACCGTCCATTCCAGTAGTCTGTCCATGCCTAAGTTTGGCGAGGGCTTTTCCAGCAAATTCGTTCGTCGCTACTAAAAGGGGCCATGGGGCTGCATGCCTCCCATTCCTCGGTGGTCATACAAGACCTGACGGGGCTGGCCTTCCGACGGCCAGTGAGCCCCACCGTGGGGGGTGCAGAGTAAGTACGAGTTAAATGGACACCATGAGAACATACACCAGAGCAGAAACACGCCGTGACGAGGAACATAAGCATCAGGACCTCCCATGGTGTTCATCAGAGCATCACATCCGGGACAGAAGCGGCTCCTGCAGGCACAGATACTGGAAAGCCCACAGTAGGCTCGCTGAGATCAACACACTTAAGTGTGCCCAACCTCACAGAACCCCCGCTTATCTGGGCCACAGGTAAACCTGCCTCAGACCTTGACTACAAAAGGGTACATGCCCTCAGATCCAGGTTTCTTGGAAGACGGAACACCTGAGGCTCCCTCTTCCATCCTGTCCTGTTCCATTTGTTAATTTTCTTTCACCCCCATTCCTCACTCCCATCCCCCCCACCCCCCACAGGCTACCCTTTTAATGCACAGGTGTACACATTTTTGGAAACGTTGCCTTGTTTCTTGTTTCTTGCGCGTATTATCTTTGGTGCCTGTAAATGATACTGCCGCATCTATTTCTTACTTTCCTCACTCAGCTATTTTTTTTTTTAAAGATTATTTATTTGACAGAGAGAGAGAGACAGCGAGAGAGGGAACACAAGCAGGGGAAGTCGGAGAGGGAGAAGCAGGCTTCCCACGGAGCAGGGAGCCCGATGTAGGGCTCCATCCCAGGACCCTGGGATCATTACCTGAGCCGAAGGCAGACGCTTAACGACTGAGCCACCCAGGCGCCCCTTCACTCAGCTATTTTTAAGGTCCGTGTTTGTGTGTTGTCTGTGGCTGGAAACTGCTCTGTAGTACTCTGTCGTCGGTGTCAGCCGCGGACCTTTTCCTAAACACTCCCCCGGTGACCGAGGTGACTCATCCCCCCACCCCCACCACATTCACACTGCAGGAGCACCCTTACACATGGCTGCTTGCAGACCCAGGAGATCATTTTGTTGGGAACATTTACCCAGACATGGTAAATGTCTGGACTGTGGGACTGGACGGAGCAATTTCTGGACTGTGGGGCATGCATAGACTTTACTCAATGAGCAGTGCCCCGTGGTTCTCCACCAGCACTGCACCGAGTCCCCACATCTCTGCCGACACTTGACATCACCCACCTTTGCGCTTTTTGCTAATCTGATGCTGACAGGTGCAGAGTGTTCTCTAATTGTTGCTTTAGTTTCTGTTCCTCTGATGACTGAGTTTGAACAGCTCTTCACAGGCTTGGTAGACTTTGGGGTCTGCTTCTATATTGCTCATTCCTCTTACCCATTTTTTTTCTACAGGGGTTGTCTTTTCATTGTTGATTTGTAGGAGCTCCTTGTATATTATTGGCAGTTAATCCTTTGCTGGTTTCAACCACTGCACACAACTTCTCTCAGCTCCCACACCTACAGTTAGGCCTCTTGCCAACCGTGAAAACAAATTAAGCAGACTAAGATATAACAGAAGGTGGGTAATGGAGACAAAATGAAATGGAAAGCAAATTGTCTGGGTGAGTTTAAAACGAATAATATTAAAATGAGAAAAATAATGGAAGAAAATATTTACAGGACAAAACCAAAAACTTAACAAGATTTCTTTTTGTACCTAAAAGTACAAAATAAAAGCTAGAAACAAATCAGTAAAGCATAAAAAAGATCAAGAAGTTAAAATCAAGGTTAAGGTAAAAACACTTTTTAAAAAGAGTATAAAAATGAAGCAGATCCAACACGTCTGTGTTCTTTTTCCAATTTCATGGTAAAAAGGGAAAAAATGCAGAAGTCAGGGAGGTAGAGATTAAAAGGACAATGCATATGCACAAGTGTGAACAAAGCAACAAGAGCTAAGAGTAAACACAGTAACAGCAGACACGGAGCAAACCTCATTGGACTTCAAAACAGAAAGCAGTGGGAAGAAAAGAAAAGGCTAAAATAAGCCAGCTGAAGGCAGACTGGTAAGTCCTTAGCCAATCCTGCCCTCAGGGCCCCCAGGGTCCAGAGGTAGGGCAGGAGGCAGGGAGCCCGAGCTACTTTTAGGTCATGTAAGTGTTTGTCCCATGAGTCTGGGGGCCCGGCCTGGACATCTGTATTCAGAGCCACTGTGCGGGCCACGGTCAGTGGACCAGCCCTCGGCGGAGCTGTGCTGGGCCTCTGCCCAGCTCTGGAGATTCTGGGCACCACCACAGGACTCCCGCCACTACACTGACTCGCTCGTGAACGTCCCAGTCTCCCTAGCTTGCTCGCTGCTTTCCACAGAGCCCAGGTAGGGGCTGAGGCCACGTATGCCCCGGGGCCTGGGGAAAGTGCACTGGGATCTCGTCTGTGAGCAGGAAGACAGCCTGTCTGAACAAGCTCAGTACCACCCAAGAGTGCACAAGGTAACAGCTCCATGATTCACCAGCTAGCGGAACATCACCCTGGCTTGTCGGAGGGAGCCGCGACCGTGAGGACGCGGGGTCAAGCCCTGCCGTGCACACTCCAGCCACTCACCCCAAGTGGCCAGCTATGTGTGAAATGATTGGGTTGGCTATTTCCAGGTTCAATGACAGAAAGATTAAACTGACAGGGAATCCAGAGTTCCACCACCCTGTTTCAGCACGAGTTGGAGCGCTGAGGAAAAATCCCGATGAGTCACTGGAGAGTGGAAAATATCTGATCTTATCTAAAGGTGAGGTAAGGGATGTAGGCGCTGAGTCCCGCTAACTTGAATCCTTCCAGTTATGTAAAGACAGGTAGTCTCCCAGCTGCTGCAGGGTTCACTAGAAAGTCAGTTGCTTGGCAAGGCAGACGTACTCCCCCGGAGCTGTGCTGCGCGACGCTCCCGTCACCAGCAGCCCCACGGTCTGCGTGGCCCACAGCCCGAGGGCTCCCTGGCCTTGAGGATTTCCTCAACCAATTTTCAGTTTTGTTTTGAATTAGTTGTTAATGGGAAGACTGATGTAGGATTGTTGGAATTTTATTTTTCCAAGGAAAACATTTCCAAAGTACCATCTAATTATCATCACCATTTTCCAAAAGAAAAAATATTTAGCACCAGAAAAAAGGAAAAAAAATCTAAAGGAAGGACTTTCACAGACTAACATAAGCTTTCTGAAATGCTCACTACTGCATGTTCCTCATCGTGGAAGGGCAGTCTGGTAAACTGTGGTGCCCCCCCACCCCCACCACACGACCCCCTGAACTCACTGACCAGCCCATCAGCACTGGGCCGTGCAAAGAGCAGCTGAGAACAGGCCAGAAGGCCAGGGGACCCAGACTGAGGGAAAGCAGCACCAATTACAGGCAGTGCTGACGGCCTCAACAGAGGAGCAAAGAGCTGGGGCCCGTGTATCCCCCCAAGTTCATAGCCAAAGGGAAACGTTCAGCTGGGACAGGACAGACAGAGCAGAACATGAGCACGATCTACATTCACGAGGAAAGGGTCTTGTTGTGGGGAAGCCTCTTCTGGGTGCTGCCCTGGCCTCCAACGCCACCTTGGCCTCTGTAGTTCCTCCCGCTGGGTGGTCCTCGTCTGCCTGTGCAGTCATGTGCCACCAGCAGCCCAGGTGCCCAAGTGTTTGCGGACGGACCGAGTGAGGAGCACTGGGCCAGGGCTCCTGTAACAGCACCGGCCCGCCCTCGGGAGACTAGCTACAGGACAGCTAACGGGACAGAAAGCTCCATCTCGGGCCTACGGGACACCACCACGTCCACCGTGCTTCCAGCACCAACTCCCCTCCCCACTCCCACTGGAGCACCTGGCTTCAAAGGAAGCCACCGCAATGCTGGCAGAATTTCACTAAAAACACCTGAAAAGTGATGAAGAGCCTGAGGGAACTGGTTCTGGTGGAGCTCCGCAGGGCCAGTCTGGGTGGCCAGGCAATCCGGCTGTGCAGAACCAGGCCGGGACGTGGCTGGCTGACGAGGCTGTGTGCTTGTTCACACACAGGAAGGGCGCCTCAGCCAGGCCGGGGCTCTGGCTGCAGCCTCTGACAGCGAAGACCACTCTCCACCGGGAAGGGCTGCCCCGCAGGAGGTGGGGGCTCCGAGGCAGAGGCGCCGCCGTGCTCCCTCCCGCCTGTGCACACCTCCTTGCCCAGCCCCATTTGTCGGCTCTCCCATCTGGGAGATCTCCAGTCTCACCGCACACGGGGTGGGTCCCGTACCCTTTCCTCCTCCCACTCCCACAGCAGCTCATCACGATCCGCCCTGGTTCTAAATTCAGACTTTACAAAAGTTAAGTGTTACTGACCTCTCTACAAAAAGATCCTAATGAGAATATGGCAAAAATTAGCACCTCTTTAGAACTTTATTTAAACAACACCCCACGGTTTGCTCCCCTGAGCTCCTGAGGGCATACGGTGGCACGGACCTTGTGTTAGGAGGCTTCCCGTGTCCCCGGAGCCCCCAAAGCCACTGGACCGCCAGAGCATCAGGCCCTCTCGCGGAATTCACTGGACCATCTTAAAATACAGACCACAAGTACCACGGGCAGGAGGGAACACATTTACTTGAGGTACAAAGGTTTACGACTATTAACAAGTTACCACTATTATTTACAGGTTTACAAAATGGAAATAAAAATGACATACATGTTTGGTGCCAAAAGTGGCACATCCAAACTAAAACCAGTACAAAAATAAAGTTTCAAGCCACGTGTTTTTTAAATAAAGGTCACTGAAACAGTAAGGGGAGAAACCTGCATCGGTCACGTGTTGAAACACAATCGCCATCCCGACGAAGAAGCCCTGGGGCGACGAAAGAACCAGGGCCTGCTGGGAGGGCCGCCCCGGGTTCTTGCCGAACCCAAGCAAAGAAACAAAAAAAAAAATATAAAAAAAATATACAAGTTATGTTCCTGAGCTACAGAAGCTTAGCGCCTCTAAACTGTTGTGAATTCCTGCGCCAGAGGGTTCCCGCCAGGGTGTGAGCGCACGAGCTCACTAGTGCTCAGCTAGCGGCGGCGGGCCGTGGTGTCATACGCGCAGAGAAAGCTAAGCCCACTTGTGAGAGCTAACAAAGAACAGTGTCTGTCGATCACCAACCCTTGAGAGTCTCCTGCCGCAGACAGGCAGGGTCATGGCGCAGAGGGAAAACAGAAGCTGCTCGGTCTGGGAGCCCCTGCGTCGGCCAGCCACGCCCCTCAGTGATGCTGGCGGACACCGCAGGGCCGTCTCATTCGTCCGCAGACACACGCTCGATCACACCCGGCAGCACTGCCGGGGCCCCGCCAGGGAAAGCCAAGGCAGCCCCACACACCTCCCCGTGCACCCTGCCCAGCGCTCCAGCCGTGGCCAGCTTTCCTCCCCGTGCCCCACGAAGAAGCTGGGCCAGAACCGGGAGCCAGTCAGAAGTGGCATGCTGGGTCAGCGGGGGCGCTGCGTGAGCAGAGTGCACGGCCCTGCCCACTCCCGCTCTGCCTGGGTGCAGCGCAGAGGGGTGCCCGCCCATGCATGAATGCCCCCGGGATCCCAGCAAGGAACGCAGATGCCGAGGGGAGCGGGAAGGAAGGGGCTAACGAACAGGCTGCAGCCCACTTCAGAGCAGCAGAAGACTCCACGTGAGCTGAGGCCAGCTCGCCGCCCAGGGCCAGGGGACCACAGTGTAGAGGAGAGGGCGCTAAGCCCCCTGCGGGAGCAGCCGAGCTCCGCTCACTGGTCCTGGACCTTGGCCCTTTTGGCTTTGAGGGACAGGTGCTGCAAGAGAAGAGAAACCATCAGCGTTAGGGGTTGCTCAGACAGAGAGACTGGACTTCAACCAGACCCCCACATCAACGACCACACCAGTGCTGCCCTCTGGTTTGCACATTCTCGGCAGATGCCGTGCCCCTCAGAAAGCAGTGTGGAAGGGAAAAGCCCAAGGAACCAACAAAGGCGATGGGCCTTCAGTAAGGCCCAGCAGCCCAAGGCCCAACCTGCCATGGCCGACCCTGGTCACCCAGGGCTCTGCAGGAAGGTGTCAATGGTACACGTTCTCCCTCTGCCCCAGCCCCCAGGACAGCACCACAGTCAAATCCCTGTGCTCAGGGGACTGGGCTCGGGCTGGAAGTCACCTCCTGTTTCTATGAATTTCTTACAAACAGTCAAGGAAAGGTACCCTCCCCAGAGGAACAAGGAGATCCATCATTTCACCAAGCACCTCCACGTGCAGATACATGTGCTCAGGGCCCTGGCCCCCACGGACCCCCTGGCAAATGCACATGAGGGAAGACAAACAGGGAAAGAACACCTCCTAGAACCACCCTTTCCTTTCAGAAACATCGCTCCCTACCAATATAAAGAACACAGGATGCATAACATTATAATCATGGGCATCAGATAATAGGATTTAGTGATACAATTATACTTTATGTTCGAAGATAAAGCCAGAAGTGCTGGAAATTCTAAAGCACATGTTTAAGGCAGAGAATGTAAACAGAAGCTTTTAATAAAGGACCTCTGTTCACCGACTGAGGTATCCCTAGTACCCCGTCAATAATCATAAGCAAACAACCAAGAGATACCCTAACACGCAGTGGGATCCTCACATGAGGAACTCCCAACCTGACTGCTGGTCCCCAACATGCTCAGTGCCCAACCAACACCCAACACCCACGTGGGCTGAGATAGCAAGGCCACTGCTGACAGGGAACCACAGGCCCTGAAAGAACGCGGGGTGCAGGAGACATAACACACCGTCTAGTACCTGTCCCCACTGACAGAGTGAATGTGACAGAGGTAGGAAGTCCCTTTCTAACCGTGTGTGCTGGAGAAAGGACCAGTACGGGTTCTTGCAAAGGCCCTGGTTAAGAAGGTTTTTCCTAGATCCCAAGGACACCTCTGAGAATCAGGACACAAAATTAAGGACTGGAAGGTGACTCCCTGAGCAGGCCACCCTGTTCCCTCCAGCTGGGGGTCTTGCCTCATTTCGGTCATTTCTCTCCTCCCTGCACTTTACCCGAGAGGACCCCTCCAGCCACTGTGAGACACTCTCCGCCCTGCTTGGGCACGGAGCTGATGTCATCGGGCCTATGCACAGGACCATTTTGGGTGTTCATTTCTGAGAAGAATGCCGGGTATAAACACAGCCGACTCTGGACCATTTCATACAGGACGAGAGTGACACTCTGAAAACAACAGCGATGGAAAGTCACCAAAGGTGCCAGGAACAGAGCCAGGGACCCTCTGTGGGCGGGGGGAGGCCGTGTGTTCGACAAAGGAGCGTCTACCGTACATGGCGGCCAGTGGGGACCTGCAGGGCTCTTGGGGAAATCCATTCATTCCGACAAGTTAACAGGACAAGTACCTATGGACTGCTTACGTAAGAAGGGGCCAAGGTTCTTGGGGGGTTTCGGGGCCCTTGCCCGTACGATGAAGCTGTGGCACCAGATGACTTGTAAGATCCAGGCATCTCTAAAACTACACGGCTCATAGGCAGTGATGGGAATGGACCAGTGAGTGGGACAACAGGCGTCTGGAGAGAAGAGGCCAACGCAGACATCGGGGGTTGTCACTTCCTCCCAACTTCCGGGGCTATTTGCTCTAACTTGGTGGGCCTGAACTGTGGTTTTGAGATGAGAAGGGAAAATGACTCGGCTTCTAGGTTAATCCCGTTCTCCGAGAGTCTAAATGGATGTGAGACAACTTCGGATTCACCCCCCTCGAATGCTCGCATCCTCCGACTTGAACCACCAGCGCTTCTCAGCTTCCAGTTCTCCTCACTCCTCCTGGACTTCTGAAGTCTGCTGCTTCCCGTCTGAGGGGTTCTGGGGGAAAGACACTCTCTCACTTGAGGTGTGTTCTCGTCAGCCCAACGCAGCACAGACAACACACTCTGAATGCGTCTCGGTGCCTGGTGCCTGCAACTGACCCGGTTTCCAGCTGCAGCATCTGTATGAGGATGTGTGAAGAACTATACAGGCTTCAGTTTCCATCCAACCGGATACAATTTAAATACTTTAAGAAGGTTTTAAAAGGACAATTTCCCCTGACATTTGAGGGAGGAGAAGAGGCTTCCATTTACAGGGTCACAACTCAAATGTTTCCAGGAGTCAAGCAAGTGAGGCTAACAAAGTGAAACAGGACCATGGCACCTGGACAGCGTCATTCCCAGCGAGCAGCCGTTCCTTGGCCCCTGTTGACTGCCACCAAGCAGTAACTCGGGCCCAGTGCCAGCAGACTTTCTTTCTTTCTTTTTAAAAAAAAAAATATTTTATTTATTTATTTATTTGAGAGAGAGAGAGAGAGCAGGAGCAGGGGGAGGGGGAGGGGCAGAGGGACAAGCAGACTCCCCACTGAGCAGGGAGCCCAATGAGGGACTGAGATCAGGATCTGAGCTGAAGGCAGACGCTTAAAGGACCGAGCCACCCAGGTGCCCCTGCCAGCCCCAGTGCTGGCAGACACGTACCATTTCTTTTAAGAGAAACCTGAAATCCGTATTTACTGTGAAATCTCCCAATTTTTAAATGCATCCATCAATCCAAGTTTTGGGTTGAAAAAACAGCAGTCTGGTTACAGCCCTAATGAAGTAAGAGGTTTGGACTTTCCTTTCTGGGGTAAACAGTGGTAAAACTGAACGAAGTATCTAAGGCAACTGTTTTCAGGCATTGGGCAACACAGAACATAGAAAGTAAAAAAAGAAAAAGAACTAATTCAGACTACAGAATACAACCAGCATCGTGGCAGACTTCAATCAAACCATATCAATAATTGCATTAAGAGTGCACTAAACACTCTAATTAAAAACATGATGCAGACCAAACAGAGTGAGTCAATGGAAGTTTGTGAACCCTGATTTACCTGTTTTCATGCCAGCCTTCCAAATATAACCACCACTCAAAGATCTTGTTAGAAGAATGTATGGCCTTCCCCACCCAACCCAATGAATAAACCATTTGTTTTGTGAAAATAAAACAACCAAAACTATGCATCTCCTCTACAAGGCTCACTACCCTGCTGGTCCCACACGAGGGCCTGCCGTGGAAGAAGAGTATACACAGGAATACCATGCTCGGTAGCACCCACTGCTGGGTAAACCACCTTGGTTGTAAGCTTGCACACTAGTTTATATTCTTTGTGAGTCAAACTTCATCAGAGAATATTTGTGCCACTCATTGTGAACATGGCCCAAAGTGTGACAGAATTTCTTTTGAAGAAAGAAAAGCAGAGGGGGAGGGGAAGAGCCAAAGATACATTCTCTTTTTCATCTTATAAGTTGGAGGGATGCATCATTTCCAAATGCACTTCACTATGAGCAAATAGTATAGTGCTTTCACCCAGAATGGGGAAGACATAGGGGAGTGACCTTTCCACCCCATGCACTACTGGGGGGAACAAATTTAGGGCATGAAACTGCAGAATCGATGTGCACTTAGAAATATGAAGAGGTAGCTAACAGGTGTTTCGAGGCATAGTCTCTATTCACCCCTACCGTTCCTTGTTGATAGAAGTGTGGAGCCAGCTCCAACAGCCACGCGGATTCGATAGCCGTCACATCTCTCATGTAATACTTGGAGGTCTGTATAACTTCATTGTAGATAACCCTGAAACCAGGAGAAAACAGGAATTTCCTAAACCTTATGGTGAGAACCCAGAACCACGGCAAGCAGAGCTGGCAAGTGTCCCCCTTTCCCAGGGACCTACTGTGTGTGCCGGGGGATACATTAAACAAATGCACTTCTGCATCATGACCTGACTGGTGGGTAACAGTGTGCCCACTTTACAGAAGAGCTCAGACATGACTTCCAGAACATCTCACTCTCAATGCAGGACCCTTCTGGATTCTCAGTCTGCATTTACAGAACTGTCAACAGAGCACTGACTTTATTAGAAAATGGAGAGAGAGAAGCGAAGGCTTGCCGGATTCTGAAAAGGGATGGAAATTAACTTTAAAGAGACATGAGGGAACTTTTTAGAGAGACAGAAATATTCTACATCTTATTTGGAGTGTGGGTTACATGGGTGTACACAGTTGTCAATACTCTCATTGTACATAAATTATACCACTACTCACGGGAAAAAAGGAGGGGCAGGGGCCTTTGCCTGAGGCTGAGGTAAAAAGACACCAAAGAGCAAAGCAGATAATTTCAAATCCCCAGATTTCCAAGTGCGCGTATTAGATAGACATCAGTTTCTGAGCTATGTGAAGTGCTGACGCAGGGCTTCCCTAACAACCATAAACACCCACCAAGCTGCCACTGTGCACTCCTGGAAGCTGGCAAACGATCAGCTGCTGAAGGTCGGACCCAGTGGGGGGGGGGGGGCGGCCCTCTGCAGAGGCCGGAGGGGAAGGGTGCTCCCTCACCACCCTAAGGTGATGGGGCTGCTTCAGGACTGGCTCTATTCAGCCATGCTCTCTTTGCCCTTCAGGGCTCCTTGGGAATGAAGCAGGAAAAAGAAGTCTCCCAAATTAAGCAACTCCCAAATTAGTCAACCCAAAGTCGGCAAACCGTTGGGAAAGGATCTAGAACTGAGGTCTGCTTCCCTCTTCCACTCACCCTGCGTGGTGATGGACATCAGGCAACATTTCTAAACCCAAAACTGACTGACCAAGTCTGGCTCTGCCTAAGCAGCTTCTGGATCTGCACAGGTCTCAGAAAAGGTTTCAAGTTTTACCACCCATCAGAACCACCTGGTTCTGGGCTTGTTAAAACAGGACCCCACTCCCAGTTTCTGATTCAGAAGGGCTGGGCCTGGCCTGGACATCTGCATTTCTAACAGGCTTCTAGGTGATGCTGATGCCCGCCCGCAGACCGCACTCTGGAAACCACTACTCCAGGGCGCCAAGGACCTCAGAATGGACCTTTCTGCCCTCTCTCCCTTCTACCATTACCTCCCCTCCCCAGGCCCGTGCTCTCTCCTCTGCCTTCTCCACCGATCTGTGGGGAAGAACCAGTTGTTGTTTTTAAATGTTCCCACCCATTGTGGGAGCAAAATTTTTCTAAAACACAATACAAATGAATTACTAAAAAAATGAGATTTCAAGAAGACATACAAAAGACAGGCTCCAATTTATTACCAAATTGGGCAGCAGACAAAAATTTAACCAACTGAAGTGTTATTAAAAGGTCTAAA